TAAACTAAATATATAAAAGCAGTTTAAAAAATTATTCCACCTCATACTGCAACTTATGGTGAGCACAAACACATGAAGTTAGAATATGAATGCCATCTGTAGCCTGCTGAGTAGCCACTGAAAGTTGGAAAAGTATTTGACTGCTACAGTGTTCATTCTTATTTACACCTACAAAGATGGGTGGGGGGAGAGATCTAAGATAAAAATCTTTAAGACTTTTTCTGCCGCAATATCCTTTGTTCAAGTACCCTGTCATAAAAGTCCTTAAAATCTGCAGCTGTAGAATCACTTTGGAGAAAGGATGAAGGAAAAAAAAATCATCAATTAACAGAAACAGAGGTTAGAAGAAACAAAGAGTAAAAAACTCTAGAATGAAGAAATAGAGTAAACAAGGTTTGGCAAAAACTCAGCTTTAATATTGTTCAAATTGAAACTAATAGATTTCTTGCTCTGATTTCAGGGGCAGCGACATACTTCCTGATACATCAACATATTTTCTCTTTTTTTTTCTTTAAAGATCATTTTACCTTTCCTCTTCTGTCATGTGCTGATAAACTGTGGTCTGTTGACGCAACATAGTCAATTCCAAATCCATCATTTGGGTTCTGAATAAGTTTAGATTTCTCCTCACCACTTGTAGCTCCTGGAAAGTATTCTTGGGAGGGAGAGAGGGGGGAAATACAAAAATTAATTACATGGGAAAAATTAAAATAAGTTTGGATCCTGTAACAACATTTTCCCAGATGAGCCCTTTGAGTTAACAGCACCTCAGCAACTTCAGCATACGATGGAAGCTGCCTGTTGTGCATTCACAATTTCTCAAGAAAACAACATTTTCAGCTGCATCATACAAGCAAACACGTGAAGGGGTTTCTATGTCTTTAAATTAATTCCGTTTTAACATTATTTTCAGGATGAAGCCTTCTATTATCTCTTGAGAGAAAAGACAAGGAACTGCCCAAAGTTAGCACAATATGTGATACGTTTAGGATGTTTCTTCATATTCAGTTTTTACTCAGTACCACTACATAGGCTCACTTACTTCATAGAGAGGTAGAATAGATGATCTCTGAGTAGTGTAACCAGTGGGAGCTGAAAGATCCTGACCCCTCATCACTGGGTACTAGGGAAGAAACAAACGATTTGAAATGGGAGAGTCAGCCATCTCGTTTATGAACTCATCCTCTCAAATGTGCAGACACTTCAAAAGCAGCCACTGTTAAAACACACCCCTTCTGGCATTGAAATTTCTTCTATGTAAATACTGTGGCAGGAATAGGAAACATTAAAAAATGGCAGCACAACCTCTTAAGTAATGCATGTGCACCAAAGCTCTGCAATGCAAGTCTGCTGTGGTTGAAAAACCAAATTAATCCTGTCTGACACAGTGAGTAGAAACAAAAACTAAGTTTTTCTGCACAAAGTATTTTATGCCTGAAAACTCAGTAGTCTAAACTGTCTTAGCTAATGATAAAAAGAACAACTTCAAAACCAGAACTGAGCAAATTAAACTGTGTCCTATTTTGAAATCATGATTACAGTCATATTTGTTGTGGGATTTTCCTCAGTTCTTAGTTTGGGGGGTTTTTGTTCATTTTGGTTGTTAGTCTCACTCCACTGCCTACATCCAAAGAGCCCTGCTTGCTAATGATCTCTCACTAAAACAAGATTGTTGAAGAATTTCTATTTGCATGTTGCAACAACATATGGAGTAAACAGATAAAACTCAGGAGTTATTACATGTAGAGACAGGGCACAACAAAGAACAGTGGAAATAGCAAAAACATTTACCTTTTCAAACATGAAAAAGACAGCTTGTCCAATATAATTTTGAAAGAATTCAAAAGACTATTGATATGCCATGGAAAATTTGAAGCACGTCCATTCATCCACAGAAGTTGTGCTCAAACATGATCACATCAAGGGGGTGGGTTTGTTTTTCCTCAGCCAGCTTTCTCTTGTTCCCTGTTCTATCAGGAATTTATCTACTCCTCTTTACTCCTTCCTAAAATCATAATCATGTTTGAAACATCTCAACTTTTTATTTAGCCACCAAGTATGCTGTGTGCCAAATTTGATCTCTGCTGTAGGAAAAAACAAGGAATACATTTTCATACAAACCTCTGCAATGAGAAGGGTCGAGCCCCCAAAATGGAACTAGTCTAGACAAAATATGCTGGAGGAAGTGGTCTAGGAGATGTTACTGTCCCCTCTAGTGATTTTTTTTTTCTATTTTTAAACTCAACTATCTTTAGCATGATTTCTGGTTTAATACAGAGGTTTCTTCTTCAGTATGTTTAGTTACCATAGTATATGTCATAAAAGTACTGTAGCACACTGTAACCTTACACAAATCAAGGCTGCAATTGGTATACATGAGGAAATTCTACAAAGAAGGTTAAATTCTGGAAATACTTCCTCCCAGGCACACCATCCACTACCTTGAGCAATGGCTGACTTAAAATGCAGTTGGTCACAGCTTCCTGCTGCAGAGCTGGTCACAGTACCAAATTTGCTCTGAGAAACAGGGCCAGATGGTATAACCAAAGGAAGAGTGGACTCACCTCTAACTTCTAACAAATGGCAAAATTAACAAAATAACAGGTCCAGAAAAAGCCCACTACAGCCTACCATCTGCAATATGGTGCAGCCAGGCACGTGTCTGTTCTTGGGCTAAACCCACAGAAATCGTAGGTCTACAACTGAATAGTCTTCATGTATTCATAAAGAGAGACTGAACTGCCCTGCCCACAGAGCCTCCAGCAGGAGCTTGCAGGCTCCTAAACTGGATCACTACTTAAGAAAACAACGGTACCAGGATGGGAGAGAAGGGACAGCCGCAACTGGGAGGGGAGGAGCAGAAGGTGAGGCAGAAATTGGTAAAATACACGTGCTTACATTCTTCAGCATTTCTTTTCTGAGGAGATGGACAAAATTTCACATGCTCTGACAAAATCGATTCTTAATAAAAGACTGATAATATCAGGAACATGTTGACTAGCTCCAGTGTTGAAAGTGCAAAAAATTGGCACGAAACAGCACAGAAACAGATAGAGATCAATCAGTGACATGACAAGTGAAGCCATGCGACTTGCCAGGAAAAAATACATTTTTATTAGTTGGATAGGAAGTATGTCAAAGAGCAGAAGAAAAGTCAAAGGACTAACCAGACCACTCTATGATTCTATGAATATGTATTTTTAAATCTAAAGCAAATGACTCTCATCTTAAAATAATGGCTGATAAAGAGTACACTGTTCCTCCCTCCCACCCAAGGATATCTATAAAAGCTAAAAAATAAAAAAATATTTAAAAAAAATCCAAATCAATTTGAGTCAACTGCAATAAGAAAGCATTAAATGCAAAAATAATGGCGCACTGGAGAGATGACCATAGAATCACAGAATATCCTGCCTTGAAAAGGAGCCACAAGGGTCATTAAAGTCCAACTGCTGGCCCTGCACAGGAAAACCAAGAGTCACAACATGTGCCTAAGAGCATTGTCCAAACGCTTCTTGAGCTCTGCCAGGCTTGGTGCTGTGACCACTTCCCTGAAGAGCCTGTTTCAATGTCCAACCACTCTCTGGGTGAATAACCTTTTGCTAATATCTAACCTAAAACTCCCCACTTTAAACACTTTAAATTTGCCACTTTAAACAGAAGCTCCTAAAACAGCAGCAAAAAATAAGATGCCCTTTTCTCCAGGGGCAAAATTTGGCTTCCTCTTACCTGTGAGAGGTTCTGCAGAGAGTTTCTGATGTCATGTAGGACCCTGCGTAGCTGCATCTCCACAGTGGAGGGTGGGTTGACGGCAAGAGGTCGATGAGGAACTCCAGCATGCCTTGGAAAGAAGGGACAGTTGAAAGGGGAAAGCATGGCACTGAAGGAAGAGCCAGAGATGCTTGGGACACTGTGGGTGCTGAGCGTTCTCATGTGCTCGCACAGTGGTCTGTCCTGCCACTCGGTGGGGAGGGAGTGGAGGGAGCACGTTGATTGGGACATGTGTGTTGGTGTGTGCAGCGGGCAGCTGTGTACCCTGGTGGGACTGAGCTCCTCAGACAGCCTGTTGGGCCCAGTCTGGGGCACTTCTTTCTTGGAGGATGAAGGCGCAATAAACAGTGTGGATTTGCAGACCGGCTGGCTGGCGGCTCCCTCATCCTCGCTTTTGTCATTCTCAGATGCTGCTTTCTCATCATGTGTGTACTTGTAGGTGAAAGAAGGAGGACTGCACAGCGTCTCTTTTCCTGGAGTTAACTGGACATTTACAGAGGACACCACTTTCACTGGATTCAGCAGTGCAGTTGGGAGAGACTGAGAGCGCCTTAGAGGATAGCCTGATTCAGCAAACAAAAGTCTCTGCTTCCTCAGATGATCTTTTGACTTAAGCAGAGTGCATCTGGCCCTGGAATCAGAAGATGAGCTGATGATCCTCATCTCGGCTCTTTGCAAGGCAACTTGAACTCTGTCTACAGGTGATGTGGAGGAACCATCACCTTCCAAAGACTCCATTGACCTGAGGATATGGTGTGTGTGGTACTGAGGAAACTCAAACACACTGCCTTCCTCCAGCAGGTCCAATTCTTTTTCCTTGTTGGAAATGTCTTCCTCTTTAGAGCCGACCTCCCCTTGGACTGTCTCTGATATATGAGATGACTTGCTTTCTTGTCCTTGATTTTTTTCCGTTTTATAGTCAATAGTTTTTCTATCTTCACTCCTGTTACCAGAAGGTGCCCCTACCTTTCGTCTCTCTACTTGAGAGATAATATCCTCTTCATCATCATCATCATCATCCTCGTCCTCCTCTTCATCATCTTCTTCTTCCTCCTCCTCAAACTTATTGAAACACGGTAGTTCCTTGGCTATCGGTGTCTTCTGCTCCTCACTATGTGACGTCACAGTTGTCTCACTGTCACAGCTGTCAGCACTGCTTCCCATGCCCTGCAAAGACTCCTGAACCTAGGACACATAAGAGACAGCAAAGGAGTGAACATACTGGAGACTCAACTACTGCCTTCTCCAATTCCATATTCATTGGGCATTGGAGTGGGGAGCAGAAAGAGTAATGCAGTTAGTGTGCAAGAGACACAGTGAAGGAGAACAAAGAAACCATGATATCAGATACATTACAAGCACAGTCAAGTATGTCACCAAAAGATTTTTTTTCTTTTTTAAAGAGAAAACACTTCACACATTCTTTTGATTTGACAATAACTTCTATATTGCCAGAAGAATAGAAGTGGCAGTAGGGTAAAAGAGTAAAATGCTAGTATTTTAGGGAATGATGACTAATGGATAGCTGGGTGATGGCACATAGCATCTCCCATATACAAAGGTTCACAGTGCTGAAATGAAGGGTGGTATTAGGAAATGTATCCAGAGAAGTGAGGAGAACTGCAGACTGTAGTGAAACTACTGTTACAGGACAACACTAAGAATGGGAAAACCAGTCTGCCCTGTTTTTAAGTTACAGAATTGTCTAAGACTGATAATCTCACATTAGGATGCTAATCTCAACAGAAGACTGCATTTAGTACTATTAGCTCATCCTTCCTTCCTTTCTCCTGATACTTCTTCCCCTTTTCATTCTAAATCACAGTTTAAACCAGAACACGTGTAAGGGAGCCAATTTAACAGGTAACAAATGGCAGGAAAAGCATTTTTATGAGAAAGGAAAAAAGAGGTCTATGCATATTCTTGGCCTGACTGACGTCAAGTGGACAAGACATTTTCCTAAGATAACTATAAAGTACAGTCTTGAAAGTTTACCATAGTTGGCGCACAAACTAAAAATTCTCCCATCTCTGATTTTTACAGCTCTCGCTGCCGTTAGGATATTAATTATTAGTTCCTTACAAAGACATTACATATAGTGTATGCCAGGCTATATATAGTTCCTTCTCCAACCACCTAGAAGATTTCAGTCACGAAGGTCATCTTTGTAAGTACATATTTAACATTGCACTTAAGAGCACAGCCACAAAATATTGTGACTGTGCAGGTTCAGATACTTTTCAAATTAAAACTATTATAAGAATAAAAGATTATAATGTCTAGGTGAAATCATGTGGGCTATGTGTGTCTATATCTGGGTCTCTAATCCTCCATCGCATTGTTCAATTATGAGTAAGGCAAGTAAAACTTCATGAACTTGGATGGAGAATTCTCTAGTTTCTTTGGCAACATGAAACTCCCTCACAGAATATCCCACCTCAATATAAAAATCTCCCTCAGAAATTTTTATTTTTGAAGTCAGAGATGAAAGGCAATGTAGTTCAAATTTTGAGTTTTCTTCTGAGTTTCAGAGATAAGCTATGGCTGCTAGAGTCAATTATTTAACAGTAGATGGCACTAACTTACCATACTTTTAAGAAACAATATAGACTCCTCTGTATCCCCTTCATCTTTTCACAGGTTCTCTTCACTAGTTGCCAAGTTGTCATTACCCCATGCCTCATCATTCACCCATTTTCTGAATTCAACTCAGCACTTTGTGTCAATAAAGCAGTGAAGGTGGCAGAAGAGAGCCTAGCAACTCCATGGCACAAACCTTGTGCAGTCTCAATACACCTTTTCAAAACAGCATAATAGAAAGCAGAAAAATCTCTTCCCTTCACAGCCAACACAGATAAACTCCACCAGTATTCCAGTGAAGGGGCAACTTAGCTGCAACATGGTTTTAACGGACTCTTAATCAGGTTGCAACCAATATAAAGATCAGGAGTGACCAACTCTAATCTGACTCACCTTTCAACATGCCTGTCAACTTCAGTGCAGCCATGGTTTAGTAGAGAGCAGAACAACTCAGACTATAATGCCTTTGCAGAGACTCAGGCTTATAATTTCCTTTATTCACTTTTTTCTCTTGGAAAGCATAAGCTTATGTTTAAGGGACACACAAAGACTAGCACTGTCTTGGTTTTTATTTTGGTACTCAATTGAAAAACTACAAAATTGGAAAACACAGAATACCAGTACCAAAAGGGAAAAGCAACACTGATGGACGGGGAGGGTGAAAAATCTCTTCCTAATAACTGCCAAACAGTTTTTAAAATGCTTGGTGTGCCACATGGGAAAAAACATACAGCAAAAAAAAGTTCAGCAGATGCAAGCCACAGAAATGAAACTACTGAAGGTACCCAGAATCCCATCTCTCTATTCCTTCAAGCTTCGGTTTAGGTCCCAGACAGCTAACTGATGGCCTTGGGGCTAGGTGTGACTCAAGGCTTTTCTCTGTCTACTGGCAGGCCAACCACATCATGGCTATTACTGTGCAAATGTTTGAGGAGAAGCAAGAGAACAGCTCTCCAAAATATCAGGTACAACGCTGTGCAAACATGTGCATTGAGCAGACACCTAAACACCATGCTGGAACAAAAGCTTTCCCTAAGACATGCAGTCTCTGGTCACTATCACAGCAAGGTCTGGGACAGAGATCAAAGGAACTGGAAGGAGAAAAAGTGTGGAAGCTCAGATTGACTAAAAGTAGTCTACCTTCACAGTAAAGTTAGTATGAAACTGTTTTCACTTTCTATCAGTTGCTAACTTAAAAAAAAAAAGAAAAATACAGAGGTGGGGGAAGAGCAGGAAGGCAAAAATGATACAAAAATTGAAATGATCAGCAGAATAGCAATCATAACCTTAATCTCTACCCACTACAGTCATGAGAGAAATAGACTACAATGCTGGAGCCTCAGATAGTGAGAAAAGATACTCCAGAAACAGCAAAGAGGACATACTGAATTTAGAGCTTATTCTAGACCCAAGTATATCCAGATTAACCTATCAGAAAGGTTTTCAAATTTGAACACAGTTCTGTACAGGACTTGGCAGGTCCAGCTCTGAAAACTGTAATTTTATAGGACCTAGACTGATGGTCACAATAGCAAACATCAACATCCCTCCTGTCCTCCCAGGTCTCTTCTGTCCCACAATAATCATTCATATTTCAACCACATTAGGAGAACCTTACCTGAAGCTGATTAAATGGAGAACAATCTGTGGAGGAGTCCTCAGCAAAGCCACTGCTGTCGGAGTGCTGACTCGCTGTCCGTAACAGCTGGTCTGTTTAAAGCAAGCAAAACACAACTGTAATTACTTTACAAATCACAGCCTTTCAAGCCCAATCACATTCAGTATGTGCTTTCCTTTTACATCAAAGTAACATTAAGTGGATAACAATTCCTTTTCAAGTTCCACTTTGAACAATACAGAGAAACAACTTGTTTGCTTCAAGCAAAACCTCTCTCACGCAAAGCCCTACTTCTGAAACTTCAAGCAGCAGCGGAAGAGAAGCCACCTTTTACATTTTTCTTTCCTGTGCTGTGGAAAAAAAACACTCTGCGGATTGTCACAGCTGGAGTTCCCCTTCAACAAAACTGCATCACTGGTTAATTCACATGCAGCCAGTGGAGGAGTTGCTTTTGTGTTGGCAAGTACCGATTTGACACCCCTCCTAATCACAGGGATAAAGTAGATCCCTCTTCTCCTACCACCTTACACCACCCCATACACCCAAAGGAACAGCATCACATGAGCAGGGAGGGTGATGCAGGGGCCTCTGCCAACCGCTGGAGATGGTCCTCTGCTGGTTTAGCGAACAAATACAAAACAGCCCTTTACACATCAATGGGCAATCTGCCAAAGCACATTCCCAGCGCTCATTTTATACATGCAAGATAAAATTCTCCTGCTTGTTCCTTTCTACTTACATTAGGTAAGTGTTAAAATAGCCTAAAGAGGCTCTAAAATCCTCAGTGTTTCCCAGGAGTGACTTTCTCTGGTGCAAGTAGTGGACTCATAAAGCTGCTTTAAGGAGATGTCAGCAAGCTCTGCAGTACACTACTGCATGTATATTGTTCCCAACGGGAAACAGGAAGCACCCACCAAGCGTGAGTTTACCTTACAGCACCATAAACATTTTGCTCAGCCTGAGGGCAGCATAGGCGACAACCTTATCTCACCTCTAGGTCCCAGGAAAAGTGTACAAGCTTGGAGATAGGAAGCAACCACAGTGGCCTCTAGCCTTTAGACCCCTGCCACCTACTCCTCTTCACCCTTGGGCAAGAGCTTGCTGCTGTCTTCTCAGAGGCTTAATGCAGAATTTTGCTCCACATTCCTTCAACCACTTAAATACCATCATATAATTAATCCCAGTTCACAGCTCAATACATTGGAATGCATGATTAAAACTGTTTTGAAACTGTTGGATATTCTAAACTCATTTTATTTAGTATTAGTTTTGATGAACATTGCACTAATGCAGAAATAAGAGCCTTCACAGTTTGTGAATGCCAGGGGAGAGGCAAACTGCCTGCTCAGCTTCTGTATCAGTGATTTCACACAGCTTTTAGGGAGTGCCTTTCAAATTGTGCTGTTGTTCTGTTATCATGGTAGCCACAATATCCTGCGAGGACAAATAACTTTTCTACCTAAAGACAGACATCCCCACCCAACTTCCAGCAAAGACAATGGAAATTACTTCTCTGAGAACTGGACTAGACCTTATTAACTGCCCAATACAATTAATACGGCTGAAAGAGCATGACATGAACAGTTTGTCACTACAGCTGAGGCTGGTGGGAAGCTGTTACCTCCTTCAAGGAGAACAGTTACCTACTTTGGCCTCTTCTCTATCTCTTTTCCTATGTGGTGAATTTTAATTTAAGAGAAAAAAGCACTACTGGTGAAAGCCTTAGCCTCTCTTAGGGGAGAGATTCCAACTAGGTCAGACAAAGTAACTCACCAGTGCACATACTGGCATCTGTTTTAATGCACACGAAGTTTATTGCTGCTCAAGAGAAATACTGACCTGCTGCTCTATTTCCTCCTCAGTCAATATTTCCTTTTCAGCTATAAAAATGAAAATTATATCTATATGTTTCCTCAAATCAATGCTTGGTCTTCTCAGAGACACAGTAAAAAAGTTAAAATCAGTTTTTGGATAATTTTTTTATAGCATTTGTTATTTACGCACATGCTTTGACAGCCTTACACAGCACACACTGCCAGTCAACAGGTCAGCCTAAAGCTGAGGCATTCACAGCTGCCTCATTATCTTTATGCACGGCAAGAGACTGGCACAATACGAACAGATTCATACTACCTTGGTTCCACCTAAGGAGACATCCCCTTAATACAGTCATCCCTTGCTTTCTGTGTTACAGAGCTGCTAGGATTACTTTGAACATTTTAAAGCAAATCAGAGAAGACACGTTTTCTAACTATGAGCAGTCATCTTCTACCACACCTTACTCTTGTCTTTTACAAATTCTCAGAGTTCTCCATTATACCACTATGATGTAAATGCAGTCAAAACTTATAAAGAACAGGAATCTCTACTACTTCAGTAGCAAAATGACAAGGTTTGGTTCTGTAAAGACTGGAAATACCAGCTATTATGCTGGGATATACTGATACAAAACGGTATCCACCCTCCCTGTCAACTACTGAACCAGTAATACAATCTGCTCTATGGCACCTGAATATCTCTCAGATTCAAGCAAAGAAGGGGAAAATTGAAAACATTTTTTAAAAAGATACAGAGTTACATTCAGATCTTGATTAAAATGCCTCCTGGCAATGGAGCATCTTAAGAGACAGAGTTTTTAAAGAGATATGGCTCTCCCCTCTTCACCTCAAATGCAGAAAACTCAGCACCAAAGGCTGCACCCAATAGCTACTACACAGAGGAAAGCTTCTGAACTAGTGGGAGGAGGCCTGGGGCAGCATAATAAGGAAAGTGTGGGAGAAGGAACCAGCTAAGATGAACAAAACCAGAAGGAACAATCAAACTCTTATCCCAGTTAAACAGAGCACAAATGAAAATGCCCCTTAGATTGCTGTTTTAAGCTCCATAAAAAAATAAAATCAAAGTATATTTAGGTACTTCAGTGAAGAAGAAATGTGGGTATTCATAAATACATTAAATAAGCTGAGAAAGTTCTAAACAAAGAACAGATGATGAAGAAACAGATGATGAAGTCTGTGGTTTACAAAACATGAGAACACGGGTTCATCAGAGAATCCCTATCAAAGAGCTGAATAATTCATCTATTGTAACATAATAATCAGCTACCAATGGATTGTCAGTCTCACTCCTTCTGTGTCACTCAACTGCTCACACAGAAGAGGAGAAAAAATACATGGAAACTGTTCATCAAGCTTTAACATTTACATTTCTTGTGCCTGCACTATTGGGAAAGATCTAATGAACTTTGTATGTTCTGAGATAATTAATAAATTAAAATAACATTCCCAACTTTAGTCCCATTATGGGACTAAATATCACCTGTCCCTTTTTCACATATTGATCACACCCTGCAGCACAGCACTAACAAAATTAGCCCAGTAGGCAGCCCTGTTGCAAAAACTCTCAGTCCCTGGACTGAGACAGATCTAGCATCTGGACAGATAAGCACAGACTCCCACAAATACTAAATCTATTCCAGATGTTTTCTTCTTACTCCCCCATCTCCAATCTCCTGTGGAGCTGC